TAGTAATTGACCTAAATTATAGTATCTAAGACACAACATTTACATCTTTAATTATTTTTAATTTTTTTTATCACCTAAATTTTGGGAAATATTGAATTTAATACTAATCTTTATCATAAATATTAGATTTTTTTTTTTTGGATCATCCATAAATATCAGATATTGTATCAATCTTTTGTTTAGACCAAAAATGATCCCATTCTTCTCTAAATCACCAAATCTAATCATATAAACCTTCTGCTAAGTCTCTAACCCAAATTCTAATTAGAATTTCATAAAATCCCTTAGGATCCTTAATTAAAATAGAGAAAAGCCTGCCAAACCCCAAATTTTTGAGATTAAATTTTTTATATTTTGTCAACTGCAATTCCAAATTTCTGTTTCATTTTTCTCTTTGGATTAACACAATCCCTGTTTCAGGAATCATTTCTAGAAATTGTAAAGGTATACAGGTTAGGCCCTTTATATGTTATGGGATTTTGATGGGTCTCATAAAATTTCAGTTAGGATTTTCATTAGAGACTTAAGGAAGTAATTAATGGTAAAAGTTAGGGATCATTTCTTGTCTAAATAAAAGGCTTGGACAATATCTAATTTTACACTATAGGTTTGGGACTAAATATAATATTTACCTTAAAATTTATTATTATAAAAGAGTTCAAAAGCTACTCCAAGCCATTACAAAATCAATACATCAATAGATATGAAGAATTGAAACCAATAAAACCTCAACAACACAACCAAAACTAATCAACCACTTAAGTGCCTACAATATTCTTGCGAAATGTTTTCACATTCTCGCTGTATTAATTGATGTAACACCCAACCTTGGTTGAACACACCAGTCATAATACCTTTAACCCAATGAAAAGTCTTAGTCTGAATAAAATCCAAAAGCCTATGCTCCAAATCTACTTTGCTGCCATAGAGTTTTGAATTGCGCCACGTCCGCACACTCCAGCAAAGCATTAAATAAATTAATGCCCTTATATCCATACTTTCTCCTAGCCCTACTCCACCCAACAACTAAAATGCCAACGCAGGTACTTCTCTTGGCAATACCCTCTCCACTCCCCACCAATCCGGTACCCTCATCCAAATGACCCAAGCCCGACTGTACCCACAGAACAGATGTTCACGATACTCCAATTCCTCATTACATAAAACAAGTTTCAATTCACCCTCATTAAAGCACACACCTCTCTGTTCAAAAAAAGGCACACACCTCTCCTCAATAAATTATCTTTTGCTGGCAACCTATTAAGTAATGTTGCCAACCAAAGATACTAATTTTGGAAGATACATATTCACTCCATAACTTCCTCCAAACAATTTATCAAGCACGTCCACTACAACATTACTAGATAAGAATTTATAGGCTGCTTCTGTTGAATCTACCTTTTTAAAGAATATTAAAATGGAGAATAATACATCGATTCCTTGCAGATAGCGAATTATTGACAAGGCATTACACTATTTTATTGATCAATGCCATTAGAAAAGGGGATTCTGATGGTGTGAAGGATATATTGAACAGTGGTGAACGTTGGGGTGAAAGATTATCAAAAAACGGGTACACTGCTCTTCATGCTGCAATTAGTACTGGTCAGCAAGGTATTGTTGATAGCTTGATTGAAGAAATTTCTCCAGAACAGTTGGAAATAAGAGATAAAAAGAAAAGAACAGCTCTTGCCCTTGCGGCCTACCATGGAAAAACGGAGACAGCGCGAAGGTTAATTGGAAAGAACCGTAGGTTGCTTCGTATGAAAGACAGTGAAGGAAATATTCCGCTTCTAGCTGCATGTCAGGGAGGTCATGTGGAAATGACACATTTCCTGTGGGATGAATTGATGAAAGACTATGGTCAAGCCAACAGCGAGGAGAAAAACGGCCTAATGAATGACGCCGCATTCTTCCTTCAAGCAAGTATTAAAAGCAAAATGTTTGGTAAGAGTTGTCAAATATAATACATATATTTTTTGGGTGACATGGCATCAGTTAATGTTTGGTATAAAATGGATTTCAAAAAAAGAAAAAAAATGGTAGAATGTAGAATTTATTTATAAATTCACATACTTATATTTAGTTTGATTTAAAAGTTTTGATTTTTATTGCATATATAATTGCTCTGGTTGCATGATTTGAATTCTGTATGGTGTATCCTATGTTTAGTTTTAAAAAAAATTTGCGAAATTGATTTGTTATTTTTTTCTTGAAAAATGAAAAAATTGTTTAAAGTCCAAAATACCCCAAACGGATTACAAGATTGTACGTCTTGGGCATGTCCAGCAGATAAATTTATTTGTAATTTTATGCTACCTTTTATATTTGATTTAATTAAAAAGTGAGAAATTTGATTTGCTAAATTTTAAATTATGAAATTAGTTTATAATAAATCAAATTATATCCATTTTAATTAGAATTTGGAAATGAAATCTACCTTTTAAAGGAGTTAGGCATTTTGATTATTAAAATACTACTCAAATTTAAAACTACGTACTCTGCATATGAATTTTTTTTTTCTCTGTCTTAATTTTTCTCCGACAAATTCTACTGGCAGATATTGCAATGGAAGTGCTACAATCTTTTCCGAAAGTGCTACAATCTTTTCCTAAAGTGGGCTTTGAAAACAAAGACTCTCCATATTTATCATTGTCTGAGATCCCATCTGCATTCTTCAGTGGAAGTCGTCTGGTATTCTGGCAACGGTGGATATATAAATGTCAGTATATTCTTTCGTCTCCTTTATTTTTCATTGTAATTTCTCTTTTAATAGAACTGACTATTTATTTGAGTAAGTATATGACTCTTTTGTTTTATAGTTTAAATTATATTAAATTATAAAATAAAGATTACTAAATAGAGAATGACCTTTAATATTAAGGGATTCACCTATCTAATAATTAGTGTTGTGTAATTTATACTTCATAACATTTTTTCCTAAACATAAATAACAACAATGAAGAAGAGATGGATCAAAGAGTGAAAGGGGTTCGTCATTTTCTTCTTTTTCCCTGTGATTAAATGTCCTCGTCCTAGCCTATGATTAGCATATTGCAATGAAAGTGTTACAATCTTAATTTTCCTATAAGGAGGCTTTGAAAACCATTGGGCTCCATATTTATCATTGTCTGAGATCCCATCTGCATTCTTCAGTGGAAATCGGCTGGTGTTCTGGCAACGGTGGATATATTATTGTCAGTATATACTTTTATCTTCTTTATTTTTCATCCTAATTTCTATTTGAATAGAAATGACTATTTATTTGAAGCAATACAGAGTCACTTGTTTTATAACTTAAATATATTTAACTGTAAGATAGAAGTTATTAGATTAGATAAGAGAAAATGCTTGATATCAAGAGATTCACCCTATTTAATAATAAATATTATACAATTTAATATAGTTCAAATTGTAGAATATTCTCCTATATATATGTAATATGTTACTTCTCCTAGTATATATATAACAACAATGAAGAAGAGATGGCTAAAGAGAAGAAGGTGCCGTTATTTTCTCTTTTTTCCCTCCTTGTCCTGGCCTACGATTAGCTTATCTGCCCTACTTTGGTTCCTTTCTGTCTTTTCTGATTTGATCTCACTGATTGATTTGTTTTTTTGTTGTTATTAAGGTATAAGGATATCCTCTAAGAGCTCCAAACAAGGTAAGTTCTACCACACGTAATGTACTTTTAAGAATCTTAATGTAGGATAATTGAAGAACGGATAATGCTGTCTCTAGAGAGACCTGGCTAACAAGTTGAATTGAGTGGGTTCAGATTGGGTTATTTCGTATCTTGAGTCTTTTTGAATTAGGTCATTTTGGATGTCGAGTTAAAGGAATAGGTCCATCACTCACCCACACGAGTCTTGGATTAGGTTGGGTGAATTTAACTCTTAAAAAATAAAAATAAAAAATAAAAAATTTCCATATTTTTTCCTTTTATTTTCTTTAACAAAGTCTAATACTAATTGACTATTTAGTTAGAAAACTTTATTAAATGCTAATTTGCATTTTATTATTCAATTTTTATTCCAATCTCAAGAAAAGAAAAGGGAAAGATTAATGATAATATAAATGGAACTAAAATATATGTTAAATATATAATGTCTCTACAATACTTAGAATTCATAATTTCATAAAGGCCTTAACCTTCATTAAAAGAAGAGACATGAAGGATTAGAATTCAAAAGACAAATCCAATATATATATATATATTAATATCTTGTGCCTATTCAATATTTATAAGGGTATTATACAAAAAATATAGTTCTATTTAGTATTTAGAAGGGTATTATACAAAAAAGTATAATACTATTCAATATTAAAGTTTAAAAGGTAAATCTAAAATATGTCTAAACAAATACAAGAAGAAATTGGATCGGGATTAGTTTTTATTAACTAAGAACAAATTAGCAAATGAAAACGAACCTTGATGTTCTTGATGTTCTTGTTTTTGTACTTCTAATGGTGATGAAGGTACCTGATTCACTAGGTTTTGATTTTCAGTAGACGTTCTTGTTTTCTATTTAAAAAAAAAAAAAGGAAGATTTTTTGATGGTTCCATATGACATAGCTTATCATGTACCACTTAATCTGATTTTTGACATGAGCACTATCAAAGAGAAGAATTAGAGAGCTTGAAATGAAGAAGGGGTGAGTGAGAGTGGAGAAGAGGAAAAGTTGAGAGAAAGTGAAACAGGTGGGAGGTTAGGATTTGGGTGTTTTATTTATTTTTATTTGTAGAATTGGAAAATTAGAAATTTAAAATTAATTTTTAAGTAATCTAATAAAAAATGAATAAAAAAAAGTTCGGGTTGTTTTGGCTGACCCGACCAACATGTGACCCGACCCACATGTGACCCAACTCATTTGGGTTCATATTATTTCAGTTTGGATCATTTCAAATTTTAGATTAACACATAAGACCTATGATCTGATCTAAAATAGATGGGTTGGGTTAAGTTTTTGAATTGGGTCAAATTTTGTCAAGTCTATCTCTAGACTCTCTTCTTAGCCTTATTAATTAACCGGTTGTTCTTTTTACTATTAATTACCTTTTTCATTAGAATCCTGTGTAGAGTTGAGATATATATATATATATATATATTTTTCATTTGATCTCATTGATTGATTTATTGTTGTTGTAATTTTCTTTCTTTCATTTGATCTCGTTTGTTGATTTATTGTTGTTATTATTAAGTTATATTAACGAGAGACGACAGCAAAGAACTTGACCTTGAGGTACAAGACATCGGCCTTATGGTACAAGACAGCAGAGAAGAACTCGAGAGACAAGGTAAATTCCACTATTCCACTATACGCAATGTTAAGTTCGGTCGGACCTACTAATTTTAAGAATTTTAGATGCTCTTTGGTTCGAGAAGAATGGCCGAAAGGGAAAGCAAAAATTTTTTCGCCCAAAGATGTCTTAATTTGGATAAAAAAAAATTTTCTTCTCATTTTCTCTATTTTTATCAAATCAAATACATTCTTAATATAATATTACAGTAAATGATTTATTAAAAAAATGTAAAATGATAAGTTATGAGAATTTTTTTTGGCAAACTACAAAACAAAATTCATTAAATAGGAATATAGTTTTAATGTTAAAAACCCATCTCAATTTAATAATTTAAATCATGTATTTTAGTATAATCACTTAATTTTTTGAAAAGTATATATTGTTGTCTCTACACTCTACTGAAACCGCCGTAATTAGTATATAGTATGTTTCAATATTTTCTTTCCACGGGGTACTTGCTTAGAGTTGACTTGGTTGAATCCATATCACAGCATTGGAAACTCCATTCCACAAAATGAGAAGTCTGAATCTCCTGCTAAACTGTGGTAAGTGATAACCTACTTCATTCAAATAAATATTTTTGTTTTTATTTTTTAATGTAAAGAAAGTATTGTTATTAAAAAGACTATAAAGGATACTTCGGCCCTTACACCAATTGAGGGTTTGTTTAGTATAGCAATTGAAATCTAGTGATTAGTGGATAGTAGATAGCAAGCAGTATATAGCGGATGGTGGATAAATGATAGTGGATAAATGATAGTGGATAATAGATGTTATTTATAATAATTGTTTGATTATATAATAGTTAGTAGTTATTGTTTAATATCAAATGATAAATAAAGACAAATTTAAAAAAGTAATTAATTTTATTTTTTTAAGTCTTAACTGTAAAAAAATTATATTATTATTGTTACCGTTGTTTGTTTTATTATTATTATTATTATGCATTTATAAATGAAACATTCCGTTGTTAATGAAAAAGTAAATTTTAAATTTTAAATACAAACTTTTCTATAAATTAATTTGTTATAATGGCTTAATAAATTTTTATCAAATTAAAAAATAGTTACAAATTAAAAAAAATAGAAATAAACAAGTTAATGTTAAAATTGAATATAAAAAAATTAATGTAGAAATATATCAACAAATTAGATATTCTATATGAGTGGACAACCAACATATTAATATTAAATATCATCACAACAGTAATTGCAATGAATGAATCAATTAAAATAAATTTTGCAAAAGCATCGTCGACTACTGTCAATTTAATGAATCATTTTTGGAAGTGCAAAAGAAGAATCAATTTAATGAATTATGATAGGAAGTGTAGAAGAAGAAAACATACCATGTCGATGGCCTTGGGTTTTCTTGACCATGAAAGGAAGTAATTTAATTAAGTTGATTGTACACTTAGATTTGTATTTTATACTTAATTATTTTATGGATGAATTTGTCATAATAATTTAAAATTTTCAATCCATTAGTGGTTTGGGGTGAAATTATTTTATGGGTAAATTTGCCATACTAATTTAAAATTTTCAATCTGTTAGTGGTTTGGGGTGAAAAGTTACTTTTGAAAGCTTTTTCAATCCACTAGCGGATTGGATTCTAACTGCTAACTACTAATATCAAACCGCTAGATAAAAGCTTTCACTAACCACTAAATATGTAGTGGTTTGTGGGACGAAAAAATTTATCTAACACTTTTATGTATTAGTTTGGACGAAATTACTAACTGTTACCCTCAAATCACTATACTAAACAGTCCCTAAATAATTACCCCTTGCCCTCAAAACATTATCCCACATCCATCTTGTAGCACTTTGATTTGATTACCAGGGTTTATCATTTAAATAAAGCTAAAGTAGTACATAAGGTCATGAACTTATATTAAATATGTAATTAAAATTCTAAATTTTATTGTGTTCAATTAAGGTTTTTAAATTTGTTGAAATTCTCAAATAAGATCCAATTAGATGAAACTGCTAGGTCCATTAAATCATTTGTTAACACCATTAAATCCAACGTGTTAAATAACGAAAAAAAAAGCCCCTAAACTTTTAATTTAGCTTTTAATAACCCCATAACTTCAATAATTTCAAAAAGCTCTTTAAACTAATTTTATTTATTAATGTGAACATTTTTGTGGGACTTGTAACTCAAAATTAATTTAATTATTTGAAATAATTTACTAATTATTCTTTAAATGATTCATTAAAAAGTTAATTAATCATTAAAAAAATTTTGAGTCTTTATAACAAAATTTTTGGATCGGTCCCACATATTTGCATAGTAAATCCATTTATGTAAAAAATAACAAAAAAAATTGAGGCTCACATATATGCCACATTAATTTTTAGTTGTGGATCCCACAAAAATTTCCTCATGTACAAAAAAATTAAGCTTAAGACCTTTTTGAGGTTTTAAAAGTCTTAGGGTTTTTGAGAGCTAAAATTAAAAGTCTAGGGGCTATTTTTGCTATTTAACTTAATTGCATTAACAACTAAGTTAACAAACCTAATGGTTTCCATCCAATTGGGACTTTATTTGAGAATTTTGACAACCTTGAAACCTTAATTGAGAGCAATTAAACTTTAAGACTTTAATTATAAATTTGGTATAAATTTAAGTCTTTATATACCTTCAAATAAACATTTTTATTTATTTTTCCATGAGATACTCACATAGAGTTGACTTGGCTGAATGCATATTGCAGCATTGGAAACTGCAATCCGCAAAATTGGGGAATGTTTGATTCTCCTGCCAAATGGTAAGTGATAACCAGCTTCATATAAATAGCTTTTTTATTTATCTTCTAGTACTTTGATTCAATTACCTCCTTACTTCCTTTATTATATAACTTGTTTCTTATTAATAGGAGAGCATATTTATAAGCTAAAGTTGAACCATACCTATGCCACTGAGATTCTGCGTGCTTTATGTTCGCATCTATCAAATTTAAAGCACGGTGAAATTGTGCAAAGTGGAGCAGTCCAAGCAATGTTCAATGCAATCAAGAATGGACTTGATGAGTATGTAGGAGAAATTATCAAAACTAATCCAGATATAATTTGGATGCTTGAAGAAGGAACTTCAAGAGATATATTAATGTGTGCAATTGCACATCGCCAAAAAAAGATTGCCAGCTTTATACATGAACAAGTCAAATGGAGGGATGCAACAGTTGAATTAGATAAGGACAGAAACAATCTGTTGCACATAGCAGGGAAGCTAGCTCCTGATATTCAGCTTTCTCGCATCTCTGACGCAGGGCTGCAAATGCAAAGAGAACTACAGTGGTTTAAAGTAAGTAGTCATCTCTCAATAGTCACTGTTCTCTCTCAACATATATAACAGTTGATGCTCAGTTGTTAATTTCCTATTAAATGCTGATAAAAAAAAAAAAAAATTCTTTTTTGACTTTAGTGAGTTTACATTTGTAGGAGGTGGAAAGAATTGTTCCAGAGTATTATAAAGAATGCAAAAATGACTTCGGTAAGACTCCTGGTGAAGTGTTTTCTGAGGAGCACAAGGATTTGCAAAGAAAAGCCGAGAACTGGATGAAACAGACAGCAGGCTCTTTTACAATTGTAGGCGCCCTTATCATTACCATTATGTTCGCTGCAGCTTATACCATTCCTGGCGGTAGTAATCAAGATACGGGTTTTCCCATATTCTCACATGATACATTATTTGAGATGTTCATTATATCAGATGCTGTTTCTCTCTCTACTGCATCCACTTCGGTTTTGGTGTTTTTAGGGATTCTCACCTCTCGTTATTCCGAAAAAGATTTTCTCAGATCGTTACCAAGAAGGTTGATCATCGGGCTTTATACCCTTTTTATATCAATTGCAGTGATGATGATAGCCTTTGCAGCCGCTGTTGCTATTATGCTTGAAGGTCAACTGTGGATAATCATTGTCATGTCTGTGCTAACTTGCATTCCAGTTTTCTGCTTTGCACTTCTGCAAATTCCGCTTCTTGTTAAGATTTTTAATTCAACTTATCGATGGAAAGTCTTCGGAAAGAAAAGAGATTGAGTATTGGATGGAGGAGGGATTGTTAGGGAAGGGCAGTTGGTGACGTGGAAAGATTTGAGGGGAATGATTAATGTGGTGAAATTTAGGGAAGAAATGGTGGATTCTTAGAGATTGGTGTATTGTAGTGATGGTTTTTATTCTGTAAAGGCAGCATATGATTTTTTAACACTTGAAGATTATATTCTTGATTGGAAATGGTGTAGGATAATTTGGTGCAAGAATGTTCCTTCTAAATTAACTGTATTTGGATAGAGGTTATTCCTGAATAGATTAAGCTATGAAGGAGAATCTTGGTAAAAGAGGAGTTGTTTTTCAGGGTGGGAATGTTAGTTTTGGTTTATTCAATGAGGCTGTGGAAGAGCTTAATCATTTATTTTGTGATTGTAGCATGTCTTGGTTAGTTCAGCTGAGGGTGATGATATGGTGGGGGATGTGTGCAGGATGTGGGTGCACTCATATTATTGGTAGTTACTTGGTACCTTTGGTGTTGGAGGAATTCAAAGGTGTTTGAGAATAATTTAATTTCTAAGGACTTATTGCTAGATTCTATACAAGCAAAGTCTATTTTATGAATTAAGAATAAAGAATCAAATTGTATGTTGTCTTATCAAGAATGGATATCAAGATTTATGAAGTGTATGGCAGCTACTGCTTAATTTCAAAGATGCTTGAAAGACTGTATGGTGTAGAAGAAAGCATTGTTTGGTATGATTTTTATATATTGACTTGAGTAGTAATTTTTGTTGTTTTGTGGTTTATTTATCCATACGTTGGCTGAGTTGGGATTTTCGTAAAGTTTGTTCTCTTCTGTTATGGAATATCTTTTATGCTTTGCATAATATAAATTCATTTGATTTGCTAATAAAAAATTAAAAAAATAGGATGTTGACAAGCTTTGGTCATGTATGTTGAATTGAGAATTTTGCTTATAAGACACCCCTTTAGCTATTTTTTTTTTATTGGCAAACAAATAAAGTTTTATTTTTAGAGAGTATAAGAGCACTCCAATCCTTACTACCACTTTTATATGTTCATACATTTGACTAGCTGTGATGACAAGTTCATACCTCATACCACTGTTTTAAAAATTAAATCAGACCAGCCAGTTGAATTGGTTGGACCGATATTCAATATTATAAATAGATCGAGTCAATATTTAGAACCAATGAAGTGGTTGAATTTAAAACCGATAAAACCATTTGGACCGACACGAATCATTAAATTATTAAACTAGACAGTTTAAAGCTTTTGAAAAATTTCCCCTATATTTGCCACTCCGGGTTTGAACACAAGACTTAAGGAAAATTTTCAATCACTTTTGTCACTAGGACATCACCTCTTTGATTGAAATGATTGGGTTAAAATTTTATTTATTTTATTTTTAGGAAGAAAAGAATTGCACATGCCATCCAGCAGAATCGAACTTCCTTCTCTTGTGTCATTAACTTTAATGTTAAAATTAATATAATGTTTATCTAATTTTTATCTTAAATATACAAATTAAAAGTGTAATAAATATAATTTTTTAAATTAATTTATATAAAAAAATAAAAATTGATATTTATTTTAATACTATTAACATGTAAAATGATTTTAATTGATTAATTAATTTTTTTTTTTGAACAGTGTAAAATCTTTTTTCTTGGGGGAAGGGGGAATGGGGGGGGGACTTGGGATTGATCCCAAGTCCTTGTAGTCCTACACACGTCCCTTGCAAGGGGGTGGCCATTTGACCACCGAGTGCGGGACGATTAATTAATTAATTTAAAGTCAATTTTTATAATTTTTTACATTAATTAATTAAGAGAATAGTACATATTAATCCTAACTTCTAAAAAAATTAGAGTTTCAATTTATATTTAGAAACTAAAATCTCAATTCAAAATTAAAAAATTCAATCAATTTCTAAATCTAAAATTTAATATTTAATAGGATATATTTTTAAATTTAATTTTTTACATTAATTAATTAAGATAATAATACA